AAGAGAGGCTGCCTTTCTTTCCAATCAGGTTGTTCAAAGTCATTCCTATGTGCTGAAGCTCGTCAGACTTCTCTATCTCTGCTCCTTTTATTACTAACAGCGTTGCCAAATTGATACCTGGAAGAAATAGATGACTGAAACGAGAGTGATGAATTCAGATTCGCACAAAATCAAATATTTTTCAGAAAATCTGAAAGCTTGTTAAGAACTATTGAATGCAAACTCATACACATTCTTGGATATTTCTATTGTTTAGCAAGCGTTGATATCTGTATTGAGGTAAGAAAATCTTTCAACTCACCTGCATATTCATTCGGTTTAACCTCAAAACCCTTTCTGTACCAATGAATGGCAGCATCAAGACTTTTCATGTCTGTGTGATCAGACTCTGTGAATATGTCTTTATATATTCTGCCGCAGAGGCACAGCATGTCCGGAAAATGATTCTCTTTCTGAAATTTTGATCAATGCATCAAAGAATAACTGGGGTCACTCAGTTGAATAGCTGATCACTTTGTTATAAAACAAGTACATGTGAAAAGCCATAAAGATTACAAATAATGTGAATACCAAAAAACATGCAAAAATTATACCAAAAAAATACAGAAAATTGGATTATCTTCAATTCTGCCACTTTGCAGAACATATAGCTAGCTCAAAGAGGAATTTTTGAACCCAGAACAAACTTTGTCTACCTACTCATGTTCAAGAATACTTCCGATTCTACTGGAATGAATAATTAACAACCACTTACGCTTTTCAAGGCATCTTCACAGACAGCCAAGGCATTTTTTCTATCACCGTCCTTTCTCCGCCTGTTCAAAGCGAATGCGTACAGGTACATAATATAAGAATTCAGGTACTTTCTAGCTGTAGGTACTTTTTTTAAGTCTTCCACGAGATGAATCATTGCGTCATACTCTTGAATATCGCGGAAACAGAAAAGCATGTTGAGGATGACTTCGCCGGAGAGAACATTAGGGTCGTCCAAGCGTTTGCGCATGAGCAGCAAAGCTTCTTTGAGTTCTTCGCTACTTTTGTGCTCCTTGAGCTTTTTCAGGTCGCTCAGAAATTTTTCTCGCATGTGAGCTCTGGAGCAAAGAGGTATCAAGTTAGTTTTTGTTAAAAAGGAACATCGTCAGAACATTTTTTTTTACATAACATACTTTCTTCAAGATGTAGTGCCATATAAGAAACATAAATATATTTTATCCATGAAAGTGTAGCTAACATTCAGAGGATGATATACATGTACCTCACATTGCCCAAGACAAATGCCTTGAAATTAATCAAAATAATATATTTCTTCATTAAAAAAATGGCCACAGTGTCTTTGTTGGTACTTTAGATGAGTATGTCCAGATGCATGTGGGTTTGAAAATGGAATAATTCATTTTAGAACCTCTCTGTTGACTGGTTTATAGTGAAATCTATAATATCACTTGCTAGTGAGTTACTCACTAGCAAGTGATATTCTCATTCTCATTGTAAATGGATCATCATTAGCAAACAAAGCTGTCAATGCATTTTTTTGGGGTGGGTTATCAATATAGATGAAAAATCACCTAAATAGGTGTCTTTTTTAAATTTTTTGTGTGTGTCTTATTAAATATGTTTTAATAATCAACGTATGAAGCAGTACAGTTTTTGGAACTGTTTTAATACATTTCTAAAAAGACGCCATAATCTAATTCTCTATAATCATATAATCATGAGTATATATACGCCATATATATACAGGGTCCTGCAACAGTGGCGCGGTGTTCCATATCTCTATATAGGAAGCAGATAGGAATCTAATTTTC